ATATTTTTACAGAGCAATTAGCACTAGGTAGGTAATGACGACAGGCGTCCGTGGCTAAGGCGTTGCGAGTCCGACTCGTGAGCCAGCATACCGCGATCGAAACCCAGTGCAGGCTGCGTGGATTTTTGTCGTGGTATGGGACGTCGCAGGTCGACCCAGCCTAAAATGGGTACCAGGATGGGCTGTCCTGGGAAAGTAAACACAGCCGGCGTAATGCTGACCACATTACCCACAGAGTGCTGATGGTCTGTAAAAATATGGGACGCTCTGCCCATATGCCCGATGCGCCAAAAGGCGTGAATAGGGAACTTTACTTTTTTTTTTTTTTTTTAGGTAATGACGACAGCATTACACCAGCCGTCTTAACTTCCCTAGGACATACATCCTGGTATCCAATTTAGGCTGGGTCGATCAGTGTCACCACATACCACGATATAGATGCAGCAGTGGGTTTCGATCGTGGTACGTTGGAATTACGCGTCTGTTGACACTATACCAGTACTTAATCATCTCAGTGATTGATTATGGACTGGGTCTGCTCACTGTCACGAAGAGTCAGCTAGAGAAACTGGATTGTGTGCATGCGATACATCCTTGCATTGCCGACTATTGCAGATAGGCTAAAGGTGCTGCAGACACTGAAAGGGTGAAAATCATGGATGGAACAAGCAGAAGACATAATAAGACAAGTATGAATGCTGAAGAACATTGGGCGAGGAGAGGAGTGGGTCAGATTACCAGAGGAAAAGTCTGACTTATATAGGGTCATGATCACTTCAGGCCAGGAGTGCAGAGTGTGGCCAGCGGGGGCTACAGAGGTGGAATTCCAAAAGCTGATTCACGACAATTTTTGCCCTGATGATCTGATGATCTACACGAATGGTTCTGCATTGAGAGGAAAGAGAAGTGCCTGGGGGTTTGTAGCGAAATCCAATGGAAAATCTTTAGTGCAGGACAGTCTGGCATATGATACCACATCTAGCATGAAAATAAAGGTGGAGGCGGTCACTGCAGCTTGCCAGTGGCTGGAGAACAATATACATCCACATGTCGTGATTGTAATGGACTCTGAAAGCATGCTGAAAAAGGGGAAAAGAGGATTGCTTCGAGCAGAGTGGCAAGCTTCACTTGCAAGATCACGGGTAGTGGGCATACTTTGGATGTTTCTCCAGGCTAAGCTGGCGTGGTGGGGAATGACCAGGCAGACAGACTGGCTGGATCTGCACCGCTTCGTGGCGAACTGATACATGACAAGGAAGATGTGTTAGGAGCCCTTTTTGGAACAAGCAACAAGGTCAGAACAGAAAATAGGTTATTGTTGGGCTGACAATACGCTCATAGGAAAGGCAAGACGGACAGGCAACCACACTACAAATGGTACCATTACTCTACCCTGTTTGCTGAAGATGGGAACAGAGCGCGTATGGGAATGCCCTGAGTGCTGTGATGTCAAGTCTTGACCCAACTCAACTCAGCTCTGTTTCTTGCAAAGTATAATAAAATGACCATTGGGGTGAAGGATTTCTTCTTCTTTTTCTCAAAGTCCACGCCAGTGGCGTTGGAGTCATGTCAACCTACAACCTACACTTCTGTCTCGTGTATATTTAATCAACTCTGACACAGGCGATCCTCCATGTATGATGTCAAACAGTTCAGTATTTTTTTTTTCTCGGTCTCCCTCTGCCTCTCTTCCCCTCCAACTTCCCTACTGTCACGATGTACTCCAGTTGTCTCCTTCTCATCCCATGATCAGTAAATTTTGATTGTCTCTTTCTGATGTGGCTAATTAGTTCTCTTTGTGAGTCAGTTTCTTTCAAGACGTCTTTATTACTTTTTTTTAATCTGTCCGTGGTATTCTCATCATTCGTCTTTAAAACCACATCTACACAGCTTCCAAATAATTTTTCCCTATTCTACCCACTGTCGATGATTCCCTCCCGCATATTTGGATTTGATTTATTTAGCTTTTAAGAATTCTCTTCCCTTGTCTGAATAGACACAACAAGATTGCCTAAAACATTTGAAAGATATGATAAGGCTTTATAGGGTGTATCTTTAATGACTACTTTTTTTTTTAAATATTTTATTTTAAATCCCTATATGTGGAGTTAATGCAACAGATACTGCTATAGTGTGCCTTACTTTATGTCCTGTTTTCCCATTTGAGCTATGTTTACAGTCGATTTATTCTACTGGTTAAACTGCAACTATTTTTTAGGATTAAACACCTGGGTATCAGTAAATAAGATTATAAATCCCTGAACAGCCACATTCGAGTACCTGCCAATGTTAATTAAGGAGCATATGCATTGGAGCATATGCTCAATGAGCATATGCTCAACCAAAAGTGCTCTTTTTTTCAATAGTCAACACCATTATAGCTAAGATAAATTATTAAAACACCGGCGAATAGCAGTGATGTTGTAAACTAACGGTTACGTTACGTTTAAAACATGACTTAAGTTAACTGATTTCAAAAAGTCTACAGTCATTAAGCCTACACCCTACAAACGTATCAGACTTCCATAGAGTCTTTTATTAACAGTTCATCACCTGCATAACAGGACAAGGCAGTTAAAGCATATGGGCAACCTGTTACTTTCATTTGTTTGAAATCTCTGGCAACTTCGTTTCTGAATCCCTGATAGAATAGATGCTACTGTTCATCGTCGTCTGTTGCCATTAACAAGGTCTTATTAATTTGCATTTCAGACAGGGTGGTTTCTCCGCAACTAAATATTCCCATTAGTGTCATTTCTTTCCTCATAATATCATCATCATGAAGCAGGTCCCTTGCAGAACGTCGCTCTCATAACAGTCTGCCTGAAAGAAACTCGGTCTCTCGCCAGTTCTCCCGCCTCATGAACTTTCACACTCAATGAGTCACTTATATCCTGTGCCCATCTTCGTTTCGGTCTGCCCCTGCCCCTCCTTCCTGGTACCATGCCTTCTGCTATAATTTTTTTTCCAATCCGTCGTGGCGCTTGATATCACCAAAATATTTCAGCTTTCGAGAAAGGATGCTGTTTATTAGCCAATCTTCTTTGATGTTCAGATCTTTTGAGATGTCAATATTTCTCTTCTTCTTTGTCCAAGATATTCTAAGAATATTTCTATAACATTTAAGCTCAAAGGCCCCTATTATCTTTCTTAAGGACTGCAAGACAGTCCACGACTCACATCCGTATGTAGCCACAGGGAAGATGCATGCTCTCAAAATTCTAATTTTGATCTCCTTGCTTAACCATAGACTTTTAAGGCTGTTCAATCTTTGCATTGCTATGACCGTTCTCTATTTAGCGTCGGGTTTAAGGCCGTCATCACAACTACCCTTACTTTCTCTGCCATAGTTCTCTTCCCCAGTTCACGTTTGTGATCTGCCTGGCCTCCTCATAACAGTATAAGGTAAATAAATCTTTCTCACCCAAACTTCTAAATAAACAATGCTTGTGGCATCCGGTTTGTCTACTATCACTGTTAAAACTCCGGTGTGAAATTGACGTGTCATTTTTTTCCTACTTATTAATTAAAAGTATTTCGTATATAGTTGCTGCTCTCAAATCTCAAATTGACTTATTGGTAATATTAGTTATAGCTCTATGGTCATCTATAGCCAATGCATGGTGTGATTATAATGTTGTTAGGGATATATAGTCACATATCGGACACGTAATGTGTATTGTACTGTGATTTACTAATTACTGATGAAGTCACATAGGGCGGCGAGAGTGATAAGTCTTACTTGTTGATGTCAGTTGGTGCTTGAGCCTCACTGCCTGTGTTGGAGCCTTGGAGGAGACAGTCTAATTTATTGATGTCAGTTGGTGCTTGAGCCTCACTGCCTGTTTTGGTACCTTGGAGGAGACAGTCTAATTTATTGATGTCAGTTGGTGCTTGAGCCTCACTGCCTGTGTTGGAACCTTGGAGGAGACAGTCTAATTTATTGATGTCAGTTGGTGCTTGAGCCTCACCGCCTGTGTTGGAACCTTGGAGGAGACAGTCTAATTTATTAATGTCAGTTGGTGCTTGAGCCTCACCGCCTGTGTTGGAACCTTGGAGGAGACAGTCTAATTTATTGATGTCAGTTGGTGCTTGAGCCTCACCGCCTGTGTTGGAACCTTGGAGGAGACAGTCTAATTTATTGATGTCAGTTGGTGCTTAAGCCTCACTGCCTGTTTTGGAGCCTTGGAGGAGACAGTCTAATTTATTGATGTCAGCTGGTGTTTGAGCCTCACTGCCTGTGGAGGTGACAGTTGGGCATGGGACTGTGCAGACTAGAAGCGTCCGTACTAGAAGACCACGTAGGACCACTATGCACAGTCTGCCGGGATAATGAGGTCATTAGTGGCGTTTAGCTGGTGTTGAACATTGCAGGGATAAGTCATTTGGGTCCGAGACGTCAAAATGCTTGTGCACCCATTCCTGCATTTTCACATGTATGGCCATGAGACATCATTCTTTTTAGTGACTTTTACCGTTATAATGTGTTTTTGTTGGGTGGGGTTGGGGGAGGGGTGACAATATGTTTGACATAACCAAGCTGCTCACCAGACAGCTGCCAATGCTCATTCATTGACTGCGACATACAACAGATTTATTTTCAACACCTCATAGATCCACATGATTGACATAGAGCAGACGATATGTGACTCACAGCAATTGATTATTTTACTGATGCTTGACTTCAGCCAAATTTTCACGAAAAGGAACAATCAAGAACAATTTTTTTTTTTCAAATTAACTCCATTCATTAACTTTAGTCGTAAAGGTCAGTAAAAGGAGAGGGTGAGTGGCATGGACTCAATTATATGTGTACCCTAGTACACGAGGATTATGTAACTGTGGAACGCATTGATCAGCTGTCAAGCCTCGAAGTCGCACTCACAGATATTACTCAGACCTTACAGCAAGTCTCTTGGCTGCACGCAGGCGTCCCGTGACCATAGCACCGTGGTCTCCCATCTACTTATCTTAACAAGGTCGCTTGTGTCTTATTAGAGTGTGCGTGTGGAGAATCCAACAGACACAAGATGCGGACTCCTACTCCTGTGAAACTCCTGGTCTTCCATGTCGCCTGTCAGATTCTACTAACTCCCGGTAAGTCTGCCTGTGCGATTGACTGTCTGTAGCAGTCTGTACACAACTAAAACAAGGCAGTCGCCTGTGAGTTGTCACATAACTTTATACACTTCTTCGTCTGCCTCGCGTTCAACAATTGTATATACCAGTTAAAGTATTGGTTGTTCCTCCAATACTAGATTTTGGTCTTGTTCCATCACTTGAATTTTGCGTGAATATCGGTTTAAAAATTATATTATATTTCTGTGCAAACTGTTGGTTCCTGGTCGTGTGGCAGGTGCAGTCCTGATTCAAAGAAAAATGTGATCCTATCTACATTTATGCCCCGGTCAGGAGCCGGTTCCTAGGACGACCACGACGATTTGTAGACAGGTCTTTAACAGTAGACCTCCAGGGGCGCCGCAACGTGTGTTTCAGTAACTCTGTGTCCCGGTGTCCGATGGAAAAAAACTTCAAGCTCGGGTAAGACGTGTGTAACCAAGTCTTCTATCGAAAATTGCTTCTTTTTCCCCTCCTTCTTCTTATTCAGCATTCCGTGCCCTTGAGGTTTATTGCTGCAAGTGTCACCCGACTCCATCTGTCCCTCTGTTTGGACTTCTCTTTTCAACTGGTAACAACAAGTGTTGTTAGATCTGTCTTGGTATTATCTTGCCATCGGATTCTTGATGCGCATCATAGTTTACAACCATTCAGCTCCCTTGTGTCTGCAGTGTCACCTACGTGTCACCTGACACTTCTCAATAGACCTCAGCTGACTGGTCCAAACAAATATAAGTCTATAGCCTCATAGTACTGCAATAATTTCGTATGGCCTTTAAGGCAACCGTTAAAAAAAGTTTGACTAATTTCGGCACTTTTTTAGCTTTTGTAGACGATAGTGCTCTGTTATTATTAATATTATTATTATCCTTATTTTTATTATTATAGGGGGCGTGTTTACATCCATCCGAGGTCGAGGCTTAGAAATTTGTTTCGGGACGACATAAAGATTTACAAAGGCGGGGATGTCTCTTTCTGTCTGTTCCCTACCCTCTGACCATTTTGGCTTGGGAGTCCTGCTGGTAGCCATGCAAAAGCCGGCTAGCGCTCTCGGTAATAAGACAATGAACCGAACGGAAGTATATCAATACCTGGGTGCAGACCTCAACTGCTCCAACGTACTAAGAGAAGAAATTTCATCAAGAATAGTCTGGAAAAAAATTATCATATGCCCTCCGATATTTGCTTAAAAAAATAAAAGTCCATGTCTCGTAATACGAAGATCGAAATACAGAAAACGTCGAAAGGACTATTCTTTTCTTTTTTTTTTTTTCATTAGAGCTAATGTAGCAACGTCGCTGTGGTATACTGAGAGAATGTCATATGACAGAGATGTAAAAACTGTATACACAAGGGAGATGAATAGTGAAAGACAAAGAAACTGACCACGGACCTCTTAATTGTTAATATTCAAAGTAACAACGAGAGTAGATCACCAATAGAATGGAAACAACAAAAGAGGTTGTGTTTTTTTTAACACGCGCGAACGTGTGTGTGTGTGTGTGTGTGTGTGTGTGTGTGTGTGAGTGTGTGTGTGTGTGTGTGCGTGCCAGTGTTTTCAACTAAACTGTCAGTAATTAAAAGATCTCCCAGAGACATAATCAGCTAGTCAATCTATTCTTTGTTACTTCCAATTGTTGATCAACTGTTGAGTCACCAGGAATAGTGTACATTCAATTGTTGATCACCTGTTGAGTCACCAGGAAAAGTGTACGTCCAATTGTTGATCGACTGTTTTGTCCGCAGGAATAGTATACTCTCAACTGTTGATCAACTGTTGTGTCCGCAGGAATAGTATACTTTCAACTGTTGATCAACTGTTGTGTCCCCAGGAATAGTATACATTCAAATGTTGATCAACTGTTGTGTCCCCAGGAATAGTGTACTTCCAATTGTTGATCCACTGTTGTGTCCCCATGAATAGTGTACTTCCAATTGTTGATCCACTGTTGTGTCCGCAGGAATAGTATACTTTCAACTGTTGATCAACTGTTGTGTCCGCAGGAATAGTATACTTTCAACTGTTGATCAACTGTTGTGTCCCCAGGAATAGTGTACTTCCAATTGTTGATCCACTGTTGTGTCTCCATGAATAGTGTACTTCCAATTGTTGATCCACTGTTGTGTCCCCATGAATAGTGTACTTCCAATTGTTGATCCACTGTTGTGTCCCCAGGAATAGTGTACTTCCAATTGTTGATCAACTGTTGTGTCCCCAGGAATAGTGTACTTCCAATTGTTGATCAACTGTTCTGTCCCCAGGAATAGTATACTTTCAACTGTTGATCAACTGTTGTGTCCCCAGGAATAGTGTACTTCCAATTGTTGATCCACTGTTGTGTCTCCATGAATAGTGTACTTCCAATTGTTGATCCACTGTTGTGTCCCCATGAGTACTTCCAATTGTGATCCACTGTGTGTCACTGATAGTGTACTTCCAATTGTTGATCGACTGTTGTGTCACCAGGAATAGTGTACATTCAATTGTTGATCAACTGTTGTGTCCCCAGGAATAGTGTACTTCCAATTGTTGATCAACTGTTCTGTCCCCAGGAATAGTGTACTTCCAATTGTTGATCAACTGTTGTGTCTCCATGAATAGTGTACTTCCAATTGTTGATCAACTGTTGAGTCACCAGGAAAAGTGTACTTCCAATTGTTGATCGACTGTTGTGTCACCAGGAATAGTGTACATTCAATTGTTGATCAACTGTTGTGTCACCAGGAAAAGTGTACGTCCAATTGTTGATCGACTGTTGTGTCCGCAGGAATAGTATACTTTCAACTGTTGATCAACTGTTGTGTCCGCAGGAATAGTATACTTTCAACTGTTGATCAACTGTTGTGTCCCCAGGAATAGTGTACTTCCAATTGTTGATCCACTGTTGTGTCTCCATGAATAGTGTACTTCCAATTGTTGATCCACTGTTGTGTCCCCATGAATAGTGTACTTCCAATTGTTGATCCACTGTTGTTTACCCAGGAATAGTGTACTTTCATTTGTTGATCAACTGTTGTGTCCCCAGGAATAGTGTATATGTCGGACGAGAAACGCTTGATTCGGGATTTGACAGGAAACTACAGCGAAAGAGGCAAGATGGGACGTCCTGTCCTGAGTCCGAACGAAACAATTACTGTTTTATATGGAATGTTCCTCATACAGCTTCTTGACCTTGATGAAAAGAACCAGGTCCTTATCACCAACGTTTGGGCAGCATACGTGAGTTTTTGTCGATTTGCTTTTTTTCATAGCCGATGCTGCGTGACGTTGTTGGTCTATCTACAGCATTCTGTCTCTTTTACTTTCAATCACTTCTAAAATAGATGACCTTCCATGCCATAATGTCAAACTGTCCAGCTTTATCTCTCCCTCAGTTTTTCTCTGCGTCTTTTGAACTCCAGCTTTCCATCTGTCTTGAGGTACCACAGTCTATCCTGGGAGTTCTCATTATACGTCTCTAACAGCGGTTCTCAAACTAGATGTCAAGGCACCATGATATTAGTTAGTCTTTCCTCTTGTGTCGAGTCCGGCACATAGGGCAGAGGTCATGACTCTCCATGCATGGCGGTTCGTTGCAATCTGTTGTAGGTTTTGGATGTTTGAGTGGCCCATGAGCGAGCCTTCCCTGATGATAGTTCTACGTAGAGTTTCCCTTGGTCTTCCACGAGATCTTTTCCCCTGTGGTGTCCAAATGAGGGCTTGGTAAGGAAGTCTTGATTTATCCATTCTAAGGGCGTGGCTGACATAGTTCCAGCGGCGTTTTCGTATAAAATTTAGACACATACTCTTGTCTGGATTCTTGCCTTATTTGTGTATTGGTTCGGAAATCTGAGCATTTGAAATTTAGTACTCTTCTAAGGCATTTATTTTCAAAACTGTCTAATTTTGTGTCTAGAGTTTTCGTTGATTTCCAGCTCTCGCATCCATAGGTTAGTACTGGAATCACACAAGAATTGAAGATCTTGAGTTTTGTGTGTTTGCTAAGTGTCTTTGATTTCCAGATGTTGGACAGTTTATTGAAGGCACTAGATGCCAGTGCTATTCTAAATGGTATTTCTGGTGCGGTATCTCCTGTAGATGACATCTTGCTCCCTAGACAAGTGAAACTGTTGACTTTTTCAAGGCTGTTGTTGTTCAGCGTGATATCAACTGAACTGTTGGTAAGGTCTAGAATTTTTGTTTTTGCGGTGTTAATTTGGAGTTGTTCTGAGAAATTCTGGAGTCGATTGATTTTTTCTTGGGCGTCTGTGTGTTCTGAACTCAGGAGTGCTATGTCGTCGGCGAAGTCTAGGTCTTCCAGAATTTTGTCAACCCATGTAATGCCTAAATTTGCGTTATTTATGCACTTGCGCATGACCCAGTCGATTGCTATACCAAAAAGCATCGGCGATAGGACACAGCCTTGCTTCACTCCTGTTTCCACCGGAAACCAGTCAGAATTGTCGGAATCAGTTCTTACATAGCATCGTGTTTCATTATAAAAAGATTTTATGATGTTGATATATTAGATGGGGAAACCATAGATGTTAAGCAATTTCCAGAGTGTTGGACGATGGATACTGTCGAAGGCTTTTTGGAAGTCGACAAAGTTGATCAATAATTTCGACTGGAATTCTGTAGAATCTTCAACAATTATTCTAAGAGTAAAGATGTGGTCTATGCGTGACCGCTTGGATCTAAAACCGGCTTGTTCTTCCCTTAATCTTTCATCTATGGATTTTTTCAATCTTTCTAGTAGCATACTACAAAATACTGGGATACTGCGAGATAATTAAAGAGGGCTGAAGCAATAATCAATAATTTTTTTCCAAATCTGCTTGAGATCAGTGAAGACAGCAGTTTGTAACAGAAATACCGTGAAGGAAGTCAAGATGAGTTTGGGATGCAGATGTATTAGGAAAACAATGGTATTGGCAAGCAAGGCTGCTGTGCATTCTCAACATGCGCTTAAAAAAGGTGAAGGAGCAACCTTCAAATCATTTGAGTGTAGAAATAATAAACACAAGCGAAAAAATGAAACATTCATCCAAACAGTTTCATACATCTTATTAGTTTGAAGACTGAAGTTTGAACGACGGATCAACGTCATGGCAGACGGGTAGTAATCCATAAACGCTCCGTTCTTGTTCCAACTCAAGTCTCCGTCTGACGAAGCTCAGCACACTGCAAAGGCCGTGTAGCACCGGCGAGGATCTTGAAATATTTTTGATAGATTTTTAACTCCAAATTTTGCCTGGTTAGGCTACTCTTTTCAATTTCCAACTGCCAAGAGATTTTTGCTGTGTGCAACAATACACACGGTCGTCCGATTCACTACCCGGAGACCAGGGGGAATTACTAGAAGTCTAGGTCCATATGAACAATTCCCAGCGCTTACCGGGGATTGAACCCGGAACCTCTACACTCGAGGCAGAAACCATGCCTCAAAACCACGCAGCCCTTTTCATAGCTTTTGAGAAAAAAAAAAGTAAAGTAAAGATCCCTTATTACGCCTAAGGCGCATCGAGTATATGGGCAGAGCGTCCCATATTTTTACAGACCAATCGGTACTGGATGGGTAATGTAGTCAGCATTACGCCGGCCGTCTTTACTTCCCCAGGACAGCCATCCTGGTACCCATTTTAGGCTGGGTCGACCTGCGACGCACAATATTACGATAAAAATCCACGCAGCCAGCAGTGGGTCTCCATCGCGGTACGCTGCATTAAAGACGATCTAAACATTAAATTTGTACTGTTTTTTTTTTTTTTCCATTTGTTTCCTAAGTATTAGAGTGCTTTACGGGTAGGTGTGCCGCGAACACTTTATTTACTACTACTAATTCTTCACTTGTTAACTATGTCTTCAATATTTAAATATTTCTTCACCTGTTAACTATGTCTTCGAAAGTTACATATTTCCTCATCTGTTAACTATGTCTTCTGCTCTCAAGACTCAGTAAAGGGAAAACCCCAACTGCACCTCCACGCGGTAGAGGACAGTAAACACACTGCGGTGTGGCCAACGCAGCTATGGGACCGAGTATTCGCCGGGATAAGTGGACACCTCTGGGGTGCCCTCTGCTGTTCGCAGGATCATCACAGAGCAGGGCACTCACTTGCCCTAGCAATCGAAAAGGTTGCTGAAGGCTGAGGACATGGTCTAAAGCCATGTGGATGTGGAAGGCAACGGGAAACTACCACATTACTATCCCAAGAAACTCATCATGGAAGCCAAAAAATGTCACAAACTTTGAATATCTAGGCTCTATAATAAACAACAATGGAGACTGTTCGACAGAAATTAAAAGGAGGATGGCTATAGCAATGCAAAGATTGAACAGCCTTAAAAGTCTATGGTTAAGCACTAGCAAGGAGATCCAAATTAGAATTTTGAGAGCATGCATCTTCACTGTGGCTACATACGGATGTGAGTCGTGGACTATTTCTCAGTCCTTAATTAAAAATGATAGTTCTTACGTCCTTCTTAGGACGTAATTTTTTGTTATTTGAAGCCCCACTCTGGCTTTTGCCAGGGTCCGCAATATAGACAGGCCATAGGTGTGGCCAACTGTCTGAACGAGGTTTCTGGGACCTCTCCACGGCGATCCTCATCCACATGGTTGCACTTTGTGTCATCGGGTGTTTGTCGCTTGTGTGATGTCCTGGTGGGGTAGAAAGTCAGTCAGTCTCAGTCCTTAAGAAAGAGAATATGGGCTTTTGAGCTGAAATGCTATAGAAAGATGCTCAGAATATCTTAGACAAAGAAGATGAGAAATATTGACATCTTTAAAGATCTGAACATCAAGGAAGATTGGCTAATAAACAGCTTCCTTTCTCGAAAGCTGAAATATTTTGGTCATATCAAGTGCCACGACGGATTGGGAAAAAATTATAGCAGAAGCCATGTTACCAGGAAGGAGGGGCAGGGGCAGACCGACACGAAGATGGGTACAGGATATAAGTGACTCCTTGAGTGTGAAAGTTCATGAGGCAGGAGAACTGGCGAGAGACCGAGTTTCTCACAGGCAGACTGTAATGAGAGCGACGTTCTGCAAAGGACCTGCTACATGATGATGATGTTAACTATGTCTTCCACATTTAAAAATTTCTTCACTTATTAACTATGTCTTCCATATTTAAATAATTCATCACCTGTTAACTGTGTCTTCCACATTTCAATATTTCCTCACCTGTTAACTATGTCTTCCACATTTAAATAATTCTTCACCTGTTAACTATATCTTCCACATTGAAATATTTTTTCACCTGTTAACTATGTCTTCCACATTTAAATAATTCTTCACCTGTTAACTATGTCTTCCATATTTAAATAATTCTTCACCTGTTAACTGTGTCTTCCACATTTAAATATTTCTTCACCTGTTAACTGTGTCTTCCACATTTAAATATCTCTTCACCTGTTAACTATGTCTTCCACATTTAAACAATTCTTTACCTGTTTACTATGTCTTCCACATTTCAATATTTCTTTACCAGTTAACTATGTTTTCCACCATTAAATGTTTCTTCACCTGTTAACTATATCATCCACATTGAAATATTTTTTCACCTGTTAACTATGTCTTCGAAAGTTAAATATTTCCTCACCTGTTAACTATATCATCCACATTGAAATATTTTTTCACCTGTTAACTATGTCTTCGAAAGTTAAATATTTCCTCACCTGTTAACTATGTCTTCTACATTGAAATAATTCTTTACCTGTTAACTAGGGGGCTGCGTGGTCTCGAGGCATTATGTCTGCCTCGAGTGCTAGAGGTTCCGGTTTTAATTCCCCCGTTAGGGCTGGGATTTTTTCACGTGGACTTGGAATTCTAGAAGTCCCCCCTGGCCTTTGGGTAGTCAGATCTGACGTCAATGTGCAATGCTGCGTACCTAAAAAATCGCTTAGCCTTTGGAATTCGAAAAGAGAAGCCTAACGGCGAACTCCGGGCGAAATTTGGAGTTAAAAATCTACCCAAACTATTTCAGGATCCTCGCTAGTGCTACAGAGCCTATGCACTGTGCTGAGCCTTTTCGGAATTAGACTTCCGTTAGAAGAAAAACAGAGCACTTATAGGTTACTACCCCTGTGCTATAATGTTGATCCTTTGTTCAAAACTTCAAACCTCAAACCTTAAACCTCACCTGTTAACTAAGTCTTTAACTTTTAAATAGTTCTTCGCCTGCTAACTAAGTCTTCAATTGTTAAATAATTGTTTACGTGGTAACTAAGTCTTCAGTTCTTAAAAAAATCCTGTTACTGCTAACTGAGTCTTCAATTAAAAAAAAAAAAATTGTTCTGCTCTTATCTAAATCTTGACTTTTTCAATAATTAAAAACTGTTTTTTAATTGTTTCACTGTTAAATAACTCTGTCATTTTATAATAATTCCTAACAAACTGCACTTGCGTCAACTACCTCAAGCTTGTGTACCTCACAGGACTGGAACGACAGATACCTGCACTGGAACCCGCTCGAATACGGAAACGTCAGCATAGTCAGGGTCAACGGTGACGACATTTGGAAACCGGATATCAAGCTCTTTAACTAGTGAGCCTCATTATCTGTCTATGTGCTGGTCTTTTTCAGACAGGCAGACATAGACAAAGACAGACATTCAGACCACCCGACAGACTGAAAGACTTTGATTACTCCGTTAACTATTAAGACTGTAATGGTGCTAAAACTTGTTACTGTTTTAAGGAGACAGGTATTAAGGTTCAAGGTTTGAGCAACGGATCAATATAGGCACAGGGGTAGTAACACGTAAGTGCTCCTTCTACTTCCAACTTAAGTCTGAGTCCGAAAATTCTCAACGCAGTGCACGAACCCCGTAGCATGGCGAGGATCATGAAATACTTAAAATAGATTTTCAACTCCAAATTTTGCTCTAGCAGCACCGTTAGGTTATTCTATTTATAATGTTAATAAAGAAGTGGCCTCCAGTCTGGAGATGGGGGATCGGGGCACCACAGTACGGGTGCGCAAGGAGGTTACATCAGGGCGCCACAGAAGGGGTGCGCAAGGAGGTTTTATCGGGGCGCCACTGTAGGGGTGCGCAAGGAAGTTTCATCGGGGCGTCAAAAATGTTGAATGTGAGTGTATTTGTACCTGTAATAATCCTTTATACTACCATTTTGTAATTATATTTTAAAAATATTTTTAAGCTATTTATTAAACAAAAAGACTTTCAGGCGTTGAAAAACATTGGTCATTTAATACTAGCAAACTGTAGTTCACACTCAATGGAAAATGTAGTTTTGGTAACAGTTTTAAGTTAGCTATCCTCCTAAACACTGTAATATTTATCCGTCTGCGCGATTCTAGCTTTTATGCAGTTGTTGTAGCTGTTGTTGTTACATAACAACAAATACAAACAAAACGTAAAATTAGCGGCTATAGAGCCTATTTAAGCACATAGATAAATCAGACAACACCACACACATACAGAAAATCTATTATCTGCTATCACGACGCAGCCAGGTCGATGATTTCTCAGCAAACTGCCGTGACACGTGGGACAGGAGAATAAATACCCCCGGGGGTTAACAGGGGCTGTAACTGGAGGGTGTCAGATGTCATTGTTTTTAAAAGCATTTTACAGCTATTTTTGAGTTTTTCTTAAACGATATGTTCATTTCCAGCGCTGATACCAGACTGGAGGAAAGGAAAGTGGCTCTTTGTGTCATCTCTAGCAATGGACATGTTTCGTGGATCCCTCAGGCTGTCTTCAAGAGTTCGTGCTCCATCGACATCCGATATTTTCCTTTTGATGAACAGATTTGCCATCTAAAGTTTGGATCATGGACATACGACGGGACCAAAGTTGATCTCCAAGTATTCTTTTGTTTGTTTATTCAATGTTTCATCACACTATTATTTGTCGTCTCTATTAATTAGTGTCACCTAACAGCGGTGTTTCGTGTCAAAATATGTGTCTTTTCCTAAAACAGAAGGCAAAGATTGACAATCTGGAATGGCAATTTGTTTTGATGGTGGCTCGTATTGGTTTAGGCGGCAAATCCACAGCTCCAGCAACCATCCAACATTACGCCACGGATGAGTAACTCAGACTATGGACTCAACAGGGTGGCAAGACACCCTCATCAGTAGGAAAGTTCCCAGACTGGACAGTGTCACTATTCCAGTCCAAAAAAAATTATTACAGTTCTGATTGAAACCTATTTGAAATAAACCTCAGAACAAATGACACTAGCTAAATCTTAGTTTTATATTACAACTGAATACTGTAGTGAATACAGAACAAAAGGAAGCTCTAGGGACTGAAGAATTGAGAGGCCACACAAACAGTAAGACAAGAAAAATGTCTTTGATAGCCGGACTATCGTCTGCTCTGGAATACCAAGAATTGGGTGTTATAGCCATTATGACCTGCTAGGAATTTTTTCCGAAGGTGTAAACTGCATGTTTCTTGATGGTTGTTATCTCAGAATTTTTCTATATGACTTATCTCACTTTTTCTATAGAAGACGTGCGTCCCTCTTCTTCAAAGTCACAGTGCAGACATATACCTACAACTCCTTCATTTTTTAGAAATCTTGAAGAGCATACAGCAGTGGCCTAGGAGAACATCTGAATCTCTAGGCCTTGAAGATGTTTTTTCAGCAACAAATAGGTACTAATGTAACGTAAAGATCAACATTTTAAAACTGGTTCTGAAGATCAAACATCAGGTCTGGATCTTGTAAACTCTTGATCTATTTCAAATATATTATTGCTGAAATTATTCAGTCTGTCTGCTGACAGCAATGCTGGCATGTATAACTTTAAACATCTTCAGGTTTCAGTCAAAGTTAAATTATAGTCTGATCTTCTTGAAAGAAATCACAGGGCCATGTGGCTCAAAAAATGTTCACAACAGGCAGTGTAATAATTTTTAAAAAAAAAGTTAGTTGCGTATCCTTTTCAGGACGTTACAGAACCAGCCCCAGTCCTTTCTTTTTGACTGTTGTGGTTTTTATAGACACATGTTACGTTCAGTAGTTTGCCATTACTTTCTGAACGACCATCTCTCTGTACCACTGTCGAAATCAACGCAAGGCAAATAGTATAAAGCCGGAATCGAACCTGGTACTCCAGCAATATGAAGCTTGTTCGCAACTTCTAAGCAAAAGATGCCGTCACGGAAAGCAAACTGTCCTAAAACAGCTAATACTGCCCCATTAAAGACTGCTGATTGGTGATCAGTTCGTTAAAATAAAAAATAATAGAAGCAGCATCCCCGAAGAAGTTCATTTCATTACAATAAAGTTCACTGGTAGACTCCAGACAAGTATTTATCAGATATTTTGGTGGCTGTGCTGTGTTTTCTATGAGATATGGACGGGCACCTGATGGGATGACTGCAAAACGAAAATCATAACCACTAAGTCCGACTTATTACATCATCGTGACGGAAATAGTTGTTTCCTATGTTACCTGGCAATAAGTTGCTTGTGGCAGTTGTGGTGAAGGCAGGAGCCTTGGGAAAACGTCAGACCTCAATTCAGATGCGACTCTATTGCCTGCAAGTTCTGCCGGGAACGGTATTGGTCACCACATCCTGGAGACGCAGTAGAAAAGGATATTAAACAAGCAGAAAAACCATGCAGCTTTTCACTCAGCCCCTTCTTCACACATCACCCAGTTGTAGGCACTTAGAAGACAGTGATTAAATGACTGGCATTCGCATGGACCCAATAGAAGGATAGTTAGTTAGTTAGTCTTTCCTCTTGTGTCGAGTGCGGCACATAGGGCAGAGGTCATGACTCTCCATGCATGGCGGCTCGTTGCAATCTGTTGTAGGTCTTGGATATTTGAGTGGCCCATGAGCGAGCCTTCCCTGATGATAGTTCTACGTACAGTTTCCCTTGGTCTTCCACGAGATCTTTTCCCCTGTGGTGTCCAAATGAGGGCTTGGTAAGGAAGTCTTGATTTATCCATTCTAAGGGCGTGGCCGACATAGTTCCAGCGGCGTTTTCGTATAAAATTAGACACATACTCTTGCTTGGATTCTTGCCTTATTTGTGTATTGGTTCGGAAATCTGACCATTTGAAATTCACTTAGCAAACACACACAACTCAAGATCTTCAATTCTTGTGTGATTCCAGTACTAACCTATGGATGCGAGAGCTGGAAATCAACGAAAACTCTAGACACAAAATTAGACAGTTTTGAAAATAAATGCCTTAGAAGAATGGAAGGTACCTAGCTAAAAAGATGTCGCATTTTGTATGTATGTATGTAAGTTGTGTGCTCCCAGGATATCACACAAGCGATAAACACCCGGTGACACAAAGTGCCACCATGTGGATAAGGATCATTCGTGGAGAGGTTTCGGTAACCCCACTCAGCCGTTAGTCCATATATATGACCCGGCTATATTTGGGGCCCCGGCAAAGCCAGGTTAGGGCTTCCAATAACAAACTATTGCATCCCACATGGGAGCGGCATATGATTATGGTAAGGTTTCGCAATTAGGAATGAAGAGACCAAGAGCAGCAATGAAATGTGTTGGATTCTTTGAACTTCTCCCTAAAATTCAGTGCGAAAACTGCTCATGCCAATAGCAGAAACAGGATTTACAGGCCTAATGCCTGTAATAGATGCATATATTATGTCAGGTAGACTAATAAATCTTCACTATCGACGAAGAAGTAAATTGCGAAATACACAAGATTTGCCTTTTGGCAATACGTTCTCTTAGAACGCCACTATGTTTATCAGCTACCTCAGGTTGCCCACCTTTGGGCACACCAGTGGTTTCAAAATTGGGAGGGGCGTTACTGTTAAACCCACGTCCTACCCGATGTGTTCCACGTTTCTGTTTTGTGGACACAGACTCTCATTAACTACATCTAACTGTTTTGGGGAGTGTAATTATGAAAATAGGTAAGTGTAAAGATCTTACCAGATGTGTATGTAGCAGTTTAGCTGGAAAATAAAGAGTCGCTTGACTGGGTTATCACTAAAGGTAAATTGCAAAGATGGTCGCAACTAGAAAATCTACTGATTCGTTACAAGGAGAATGACCCTGCAACATCTCTAAAGTGTCAGTGATTCATTAGAAGAAGCATCCAATAACATAGATATTGCTAGAGAAATGCTGTTATCATCTGAGGACACTTATGTACAGACAACTGAAAAGCAATAATGGTTATCACAGAGCAGCTTCAACTGATTCATAAGAGCAAATATATTAGGCGCTACAGCAGTTGTACATTGTGTTTTGTTTTAAATGGTTTTCATCAAATCTCCCACATGCTACAGATTTATCAGAAAATCTATGTTATTGCGTCTCCCACATCCAAACACATTAACAAGTTTAACGTTGCCTTGCGCACTGTCTTACATAATGGCAGCATTTCTGGGTACTTAAACATTTGAAGAGTGCATGTTTTCTGATTTGGAAAAGATTGCAGCGGTGCAGATGGATGAGATCCATGTGAAATCAGCTGTAAACTACTCAGGAGGTTCGGTTACTTGGTAGAGCTGAAAACTCAACACATTCAACAACAACGTTACAAGCTTTTAATAATTTTTGCAGCATGGAATATAGCTTGAAATTGTAGATTTGGCACCAATGCATAGAATGACATCGAAGTTGCTTAAGATAATCAACATTGTTTCTAGTATTTGGTTTTACACTTTTGGCAATTATTACTAGGGCTGTACCGAATATTCGCTTCGTATTCGCTTCGGGGCCGAATAGTGGACCTAGTGACTATTCAGTATTCGGCCTAATAGTTGCGGTCGGACCGAATGCGAATAGTAGTTACCTTACACCCGCTTCTGCATACACGGTCTTAATACTGACAACATGGAACGACTGGTTTTGTTGAAAGCACTAAGCTGTCAGTGACAATTTCTAAGTTTAGTTACTTGTTATAATACTTAGGATTCTTTCATTACTAGTTATTAGTTTCCACAGATTGACTGAAGGAGGCAAAACATAAAATGTTTTTTTTTAATGTTTACTATTCTGTACGAATACTAACTAGACATGGAAAGAATATAAACTCCGGCCACATCCAAGGGGATAATATGAAAATCAAACAAACGGAAACACATAAGTACTTGGGTGCAAAATGCAACTGCTCTAACATGATGAGAGAAGAAATAGAATCTAGAATACAATCACCCCCAACACCGTATAATACCTCTGATTTTGCAAACCAATATAGAAAGATGCGCACAGGGCCCTTCGAAAGAGGGGGAGAATGATGGGCCCAATCAAATTGATACAAACGGTGACGACAATGATAGCCCCCGGACTGCGATTCTTGCTCAACATCCGGGCTGGCTCTGTACATGTGGGAAGAGCTTCACGGGGTTGCTTGGTCTGAGAACGCATGCCGGAAGGATGAAATGCCAGGGTGCTCCACGCAGTGAACGCCGTCGCAAAACTACTACTCCTGTGGTAGTTTCTGAGTCGTTAGGGAACGAGGGGCAGGGTAAACCCCACTCGCCCGGAGAGGCCCATGACGTTGACTGCGGAGGCGCACTGTTTAATGATTCCCGAGAAAGTGCGTTCCAGGATCAGGTTTCCACCTGCGAGCGATAAGGTGTAGTGGTACATTAATTCATGATTTAAAAAAGAAGTCGTTAGGCGATAGGCTTACAAAATTTGGTGATGTAACATACGAACACTCTTCCCGTGAGTTCGGGACAGTGGAAAAGGCGCAGCCGGGCGTCAAGCAGAATTTAAGCAGGAAACAGAGGGACATTCTGAAGTGTCGGGCAGACAAGAATGCCCTCAGAAAACGGTTAAAAGCCGCTACAGGCAGCGAACGGGAGGGGCTGCATAAAGTCTGGTTGCATTTCAAGAACAGGCTCA